CTTGCACGTCGGAGTAGGGGAATTGCTCTTAAAAATTCTTTCGCAAGTAGCTCTACTGTTTCTTCTAGAAGCTTTTGAAGTGCCACCGCGAGTCCAGATATGGGGTGCTGCATTTTCTTCGCTTAAGATAGTGCTTTCGCTATTTGCCACGCCTTCGAAAGGCCTCCAGGAGATGCGAAAGAGCAGCAGAGTTATTCCCAGTGCTTTCGTTGAAGGCGGATGGTATGTCGACGAAATTTAGCCTCAAGTTTGTGATGGATGCTCCAGTCATTAAAATATTTCGTTCTACACGCCTTACGTTGGGCTCTCCGGCGTGCTGCGTGGAGGTTGAGGTACTCCATATCTGGAGGTGGCCTACGGAACGGTACTTACACTGTCCTCGTAGAGAGGCTCAAGGCGTTGGCAATGACTGTAGCTAGGTTATGCTGAATACCCGATCCTAGGCCACTATCAAGAAGTCGACGGTACATATCCCAGTTTGTGACTCTGCACCGCTGGTACTTCAGCTTTGTAGCTTTCGGTGAGACAATGTTGATAGGAAGGTGGTCACTGCCCCATAAATCTGCTTGCGTGGTCCAGTTCGCTGCTACATCCGGTGAAGCAAGTGTTAGGTCAAGAACACTATCGTTGACCCCCCGTCGAACATATGTCGGTGTGTCATCGTTTAATGCTTCTAAGTCAAGCGAAGACGTTATAATGTCAAGTGATTTTCCTCTTGAAGTATTTCGACTGTCTCCCCAAACAGAGTTGGGTGCGTTAAAGTCGCCACATAGTATCAAATGACCAGGACATATAAGTGCTGTCTGGCATAAAACTTCCGCGTCCAAGTTGTTGGTGGGGCCAGAAGCGACGTATGCAGAAATTACAGTAAAGTCGTCACCTAGGACTCGAATAGTGGCAGCCACAAATTTTGCTTTCTCTGTGGTGAACGCCGAGAGATCAACCGGGCTGTGTGGCAGTCCTGCAGCTACTAGCAGTGCTGCTCAAGAGCGCGACCTCCCTTTCGCACAGGTGTGCTATGATGAATAAGGTAGGGTGGAGAGCCTGAAGTCGTTAGCTCGTGTCATTGGTTCTTGAATAGCCAGGACATCAAAAGGATGATAAATCAGATATTGTCGGAGGTCTGGAAGGCGTTTTCAAAGTCCCCGGGCGTTCCACTGAAGAATGGATGAACAAGTTAGACGATTCTTGTTTCTTCCACGATGTTTAGCTCTTGCGGACACCACCGAGGTCGTTCTGGTGGTAAAACCCTTAGTTTGGGTAGAAGATGACCTTAGCGTCCCTCAAGGAGAGGGAGCAGAGCTCGGATTATGGTAGTGTCTTTTCCCAGGTTGATTCGATGCTTTTAAAGGGGTGATTCAACAATTTTTGTACTTTGCGCAAATACCCCTAAAAACGTATCCCTGACGTTAATGACCGATGAAACACGCGTTCGTTTTTCACCCCACGCTATAGAAGTCCCAGAAAAAAAGTGAAGAAAAACAAGCAGCGTTCACCCCCTCAACTCGCAGCCAGGACAAGCGGCCACGTGATCTGGGGTTGGAAAATCACAGGACACGCGCTGAGTTGCAGACATTGTTATGGCTCGGCTATTGTCGTCGTTGCAGCGATTGGACACGGGCCACTACCCGAATGCATGTCAAGGCATCGATTGTCACGAGCCCAGATCGAGTGTCCACGCAATGCTCGCGTCCAATCTATAAACAGCATTCAAATATCGTCATTGGTGTGTACTGCGCTCTCCACGTTACGTCATCAAATTTTGCAAAGAAGAGATTGAATGAAGATTATCGCTTTTGTCTTTGAAATTACACCGCAACAAAGGAGTTCCCTGGCAAGTGGCGTTGCGTGCGAGTATCCTTGAGTCCCAGTAGTGCCCCTAAGCTCGTGTAAAGTGAAAAACATTCCAATTTAATATCGTTGCACCACTCCTTTAAGTAAGCTAAGAGCTATCTTGACTGCGGCCTTGACGAAAAGCATCCATTCAGGTGAACTGTCTCCAAAGGAAGTTATTGGTTGCACATTTGTGTCCTTCGAATGGCGGGGTTGGGCCGAGTGGTGGGTGCAGAAAACATCTGGGATGCCTGAAGTGTTGATGCAGCCGGCATATTACTTTTTTTTTTTCTCGTGTGGACTTGAACCCTGGCAATCTCTTTGAGTTGCGTGACTTTTAGATTTTGTTTGTTTGACGACCGTCGTGTATGGCGATGATGTAGTCACATTTTTAAAGTTGCTTCCATGTCTTGCTCTCCTGAATTCTTGAGTTCAGTGACAGTCGGTTCTTTCGCGGCATTGCTGCCAGCTCGAGTAGATTCTATCTTCGGGAAGTGCTTATCGTACTCCACGGCTGATTTGGCGACATGAAGGCCCACCGAGTTGAATTTTGAGTACGCCTGGATCTCCCCTGCTTTCTTTCGCTTCGAGCAGAAGCGTGCTGTAGCTTCGTGTTCTTGGCCGCAGTTGAGACTATTTGCAGGCATTGATTGACATGTGATGTCCGTTGATTCATGTGGGTTTCCACAATGTTCACAATTTTTGGGGCGTTTACAGGCCACTCGCTTGTGTCCGAATCCAAAGCAGTTAAGGCACTGGGCGGGCCTTTTTTGAAAAGGATGGACGGGATGGCGTACATAACCCAGAAGAACATGGGTTGGCAGAATTTTGCCCCGGAAGGTGACTTTGACTGTGCTAGACTTCCCTAGGCGTCGGACGGCACCTAATATATGACCTGAGATGCGAGATGATCTCCTCATTAGAAAGCTCTTTGTCGACGTCCTGATTCATTCCGTTCACCGTTGTTCCAGCCAGTGGAGAGTATGACATCACCGGAATTCCGCAGAGAGCCTTCAAGTTGAGCAATGTTTTTGTAGCTTCAGCATTTCTGGTGTCAACTCCGATGACATTCGATCTGGTGTTAAAACGAACCTCGTGACTTCCCTCAGGACAGGAGTTTTCTAGAACTTTTGAGAGCTTCACTCTACTGAGGGATGTTATCTACGTCTGAGTATCGGCACGGACCAACACAACAGTGAGCCCTTCTTCGATGGCTTTTGATTGGATTATTGCACCCGAGCTGGAGTTGGAGTTGTTGCGCCAAGTTCTCTTTCGTGATCGAACTTCTTGATACTGACCTCCGGTATCGTCGTTTCGTTCCATATAGTTCACGTCTGTAGTCGACGATGCAATGGAACCATCCGAGCAAATGGAGTGCCCATCATCTGGTTGCGACATTACGGGTGATTCGTTCCTCTGACGTTGCTCAGGAGTTAAGCTCAGTCCTGTATTAGCAGCGTCGGGGGCGCCCGTTTGGGTCGCTTCCATGTTCGTTCACATGGAACAATAGCAGCGGCAAAGGATGCAGTTTTCTCTAAAAGATAACTTGGTGGTCTACTTGATTGCTTTGTCAGGCACACTGAGTTTAGATATAGTGCCCGTCAATATTTGATCGAGATTTTAGCAATAGAAGGTAAAAAATACGACAAATCACCAGGAATGGAAGATTTGACGTCCCTTGGTTAGAGCGCTTCCGCGCAGCACTGAAATCAGCGACCCTTGGAAGCGAATGGCGGCGGAGCAGCCGCTGCTCGCACGTGTCTCGCGCGTTTCCACAACAATGGTTGGCGGTACTTGTTAAAAACGCCTTTATCAAGGGGCTTTACACTCTCCTCTTATCAGTTGTCTGCCGCTCTACCTTTTCGCTTTTGGCGGCCGCGTCTCATGGTAATCTGTCAGGCTTTGCCACGCGCCGAACCTTCCATGCCGAATATTCCAGAAACCTACGCGGGTACATAAGGGACTCCGCATGGGGAGCGGAGTTGGTCTCGCCGCAGAGTTCGAGCCTGCTGATTCGCCGCCATCAACGCCTGCGACGCTAGCCTTTTTCTATTTTGTCTTGGCGTAGCCTTCTATATACAGACAAACCCTGGCAAATCGCCACGAGAAGCGGCCGCCGAAATGAAAAAGGTGGAGCGGAAAACAACGGTTGAGAGGAGAGCTACGTGACCGGCGCCCCGCTGTGGCGAGACGCCGAAACACACTTCTGCCGAGTGAACAAGTGTGTTTCGGGTCCTCGCCGCTGCAAAAGCACTGCGCTGACGTCCAGGTTCCCCGAAAAATGGCTCTTTGATGCTCTGTGCTACCAGAACCTCGCGCTCCATATCTGCGACCGGGCACTCTAAGGCTCCGTTGTCGAGCTGCCAGGCTTTGTGAATATACAGGAGGCTATGGTCTTGGGCACCAGATCGTCCCATTAAACGTTTAGCTTGCTTTAGTTTTCATCGCTTTATCAATTGTCATTCGTGACAATATTGCTTAGAGGTTGAAGAAATGTATTGCTGCCTGGTGTTGTTTGTTGTAGTCGACAATTATAGTTGGCCCCTTTGGAAATGACTGTTCCCTCAATATCGTTTCTTGTTAAAAGTAGTCCCGAAGTAGCCCCCCCCCCCCCCCTCCTTTTCTTTTTGTTCTGCGGCTCTCTGAAGTTTTGTAGTTTTGTTTGCAGTTCTAACGCCATGTCATTCTCGCCACCCGTGTTATAGCACAGTATATTTCGCATTTCATGAGAGGTAGTATAGATCGGCGTGTTTCGCGGAACATCGGGCCCATTGTTCATATGAAACTACACGTCCCTCTGAAGATTTTGATGACATACTAGTCTCTTCAAAGGGTGTATCCAGAACAATTATTAACGTTTGCGATAACTATAGTTCTTAGTTATATATGACTAAATAAATTTTAAATTAGTAAATTTAAACTTATTTAGTTAGAGAATTGCTGGGCACCGTCTGAAAACACAAAATGAGCCCACTTTGAAATATAAAAAGCACTCGCAGCATTAACAGCCTTTCGAAAACATACAGTTTGGACTCGTTTCCAGTTTTCGGTTTGTCGGTAGAGCCGCAGAGGTCCTGCTCCCCGCGGGCAAAGCGCGCAATAACACGCGCCATCGCACTGTTCGCATGATATGTTGAGAGCGGCTAGCCGGCAGAACTGATACCTACGGTCAGGACCGACGTACTCGTCGATGATCAGCTTGTAATTCTTTTTTGCGGAGCCGACGTGAAATTTATTATAGTGCACAGCAGTCTTTTCCTTTCGTCCGTCAGCTCTTCTCAGTTCGATTCTGAGAGCTTGTTGGTTGTTCGGAAAACTCGTAAGTGCATGAAGGCTTTCGAGTCCTGCAACGGAAGGTATAAGATGCTTTTAGAAATAAATCACGCACACCCTTTCCAAAGGTAAGGCTGAGTCATAAACGCTCCTTGACGTAGGGCCTCACTCCTAAAATGAGCTGCAGGAACGAACATGGCACGGATTTGAAGGGCATAGGTCAAACCAAGCTAACGATAGGGGATTTAAAACAATAAATACCTAGAAGAGCAACGATTCACACTTTTCATTTCGCAATACTATATAATCTCATGCTTCAATAGCAAAGTGTGATGCACTATATTATTATAATTGTTTCTGTTCATGAGCAAGCTGAGATGCTGGAAAGATAAAACTGTTTGTCAGAGCTTGTTTTCTATGGAGGGTATCAGAGCTAATCGGGCAAAGGAAATAAACAGATATAGGCCACGTCACCTGAGGGTACATTTATTGACGGGTTTTGTTTTATGTGTGGAGCGAAATTAACGTTACTACTACTGGTGATTTCTGTTTAACACGAAAAACTTTTTTTTTTTGGTGGGGGGGGGGGGGGGGTTCGGGGGAGACTCTGATAGGTGGTTTAGCGTCACTGATAGATATGACGTGGCGCACGGTACATGTAGCCCACTAAAGTTTGTGGGAAAGTTTACCAAGTGACGTGATGTTGCCGCGTGACGTGACGCCAAGGTGTCACGTGACATCCGCGACTCCAACAGACCATAGGCCAGGGATGGCCAAGCTGCGACTACCGAGCCGCATGCAGCTCTTCGCGTGTTAAAGTGCGGCTCGCGCCCCCCTCCACTAACAACCCCCCCCCCCCCCCCCCCACACACACACACACACCCACCTCCCTCCAGGTCACACGAGCACTTCCTCAAAAAAATAAATGGAACGCGTTTTAAATCGAGACAGGTAGCGTCAGAATTAATTGGGGGGCTAGTTAGTTGAACATCTAGACGGTGGTTTTAAAAGCGCTCTGTCCTGTCCCCTTCTTCTCTTCTTAGTCCTTTGCGCTTTTAAAACCACCGTCTAGAGACAGGTAGCGGTTTGATAGTCTTGTGCTACTGCTACCTTAAGTACCGGTGAACTGCTTTTGACTCAGATAAATTAAAACTAGTTCGAATTTCGTTTATTGCTGTAGACAAAAGTCCCCTCCCCCCTTTTTCTGCCTTTTCTCTTCCATGCGACTCTTGGAAGTTTCGCGGCTTTGTTTGCGGCTCTTAGGCCGGGTCAGCCTGGCTACCCCTGCCATAGACCTTTCCATCGCTTATCACCCGGGCGAAAAATACTGAGTCACTGAGCTGTGGACGCATAAGCAGCCTCTGATATGCAGCACAACAGAGCTACAGCGCATGCTCAGAAGGCGTTCCACAGCCCAGGAGACAAAGATGGCAGCGCCCAGCAGGCGATTTCTAAAAGGGTCTATAAATGGCGCCACTCGTTTATGGAAATGGCCGTGAGGGTTGGAGATACGTTTTGGTATAGCAGTGGCTGGGCCTGTCTGGTGGTGTGCTGGCTCTACTGTGCGACACGAATTATTTTCCAGTTTTGTGGTATTTCATTTTGCTTTGACATTGCTACTGATTTCCCTTTTAGTCTGTACATAATATCTTTTCGCGTAAAATCTTCAAGCTATAACTAGAGTGACTAACTTAATAGAATTATGTCCACATTTTTTTTGTCTGTTTTATATTATTGTATTTTCAGTAACTACCCATGCTACATATCGTGTTTTTTTTATTGGAGGATGGCATCGCACAAGCCACGTGTTGGCTTTGATTCATCCGCAATACCAAACTTTTCTATGATGGTAGCAATAAACAATTATTATTATTATTATTCCCGCTAGTACGAGGTAGCTGAAGTAGTACGCAGGCAGGTCGAAGTTTTCTTCCGGAAACAACAAATATGTTTAGCGTAGTATTGGCTCCGTGATACAGTTTTTTTTTTTTTTTTAGGTGAGAAGCAAAACAGAAATTAAATTTATGAACCACTTGAGCTCGTTAAGGCTACGCATGATTCGAAACCGGAGAAGAACAGACGACAAGGGGACAAATACACACGTCTCCAAGCTCATCTCTGCTTCAGTCAAAAAGATTGAGACCTGTGTGTTTGCCCCCTTGTCGAGCTCTTCCTTTCGGTTTAGAATCGTGTGTACCAAAACTAACTTCTGTTTTGGAGTCAATACCTCGGTATAGACGTTAAAGGGTCCATGAGACGAATTTTGGGCTGGGATAAATGATTTAAAATTGGGACTTTATTAATCGCATATCGTTTAGTTGGCCAAAAGGAAGAGGGTAGAAAGTCAAAAGCCAGCTTTTCGGTACGAACATTTGAAAACATAGCGGAATATTTTGTACCTTCTTTCCTACGAAACCTCTCCGCCTTTTCACTATGATACATCCGCGGTTCCCAAAGCGAGTCAGCGGCGCCAACCTGACGTCAGCCGAGCCCAGCTCACGCACTGGACACGAGAACTGCGTCACTCGGACGTATGCGCTCGTCAACAATCAATCCGTCGACAAATATTTGGATTCGCGTTCGTGACCAATGAATGCCCTGACGGAACTTATCGTCACTGGCGAATGACAAGTTCTATGGTGTGCATAAAAAGCACGGTAAAGTAATCGCACCGGTGCCGAATAATGTCACAACGACGTGATTTCACAATTCCCAGGAAGTAGGAAAATCGTTTCATGATTCCTTTAATATCGGTTTCGCACCTACCACCAAATACCAAGTTTTAGAATGGGGGCCCCATAGCTTTAGGTGCCCCAAACAACTTGGGGCTTCCCACTGCGCATGCGCAGAACTCCTGCGCATGCCCACTGCGATGCCCCGAGCTGCTTGGGCACCCAAAGCTTTGGGGCCGCCTATTCCGAAACTCGCTAATGTGTCTCACAACGTAACTAGTGAGCTAAATAAAAATGTCAGGCGCTTAAATATGTGTTTTTGAGAGCCGTGTCCCTTTAGATGGGTTAAAAGTGTAGAATATTTTCTTAAACTAAATGCTCGTATGTTACTTAGTACACATATCAAGTTTCGCATTTTTTAGACCTCTATCCCTACCTAAAAACCCGGTTTAACGTTTAGTTATCTGGATTATGACACTGGAAATCTATCTGAATTCTATCTGCATTTCAGGTTTTCCGAAATTATTCATCTGGAATCACGCCGCTGAGGCTTGATCACGTATTTTATGGTCGTTTTTCGGGCACAACTACAACGCCGCCGACGCCGCTTGTATTTCACGTATTGTAACAAGTGAGGTCATCCTAGAGGTATAGGACCACTTCTAGGACGACTGCAAGGACGGCGCCAAGGTAATGAGATTAGTATGGTCGCCCACTGAGTGGCACGGGCCACTTTATCGTATATTTATCGGTTTATACGACACTTTTTCGCTCAATGGGACAAGTAAGGCTCTCGCCTCAAGACATGTTTTACGAATGCCGTTATTAAACATCATAAAGATGTCGTTTACAAAGCTTCTAAATTTCCTAATTTTCGACGTCACAAGTAAATAGAAGTGAAGAGGTGAGAAGAGGGAAAGAAGAACGCCAAAAGTAAAAACACGACGAAGACACCTAATATTGCTTATGTGTAGGAATGCGAAAGCATTCTTACACGCAGCGCATTCCTACAAGCAGCGTGCCACGTCTTCCTTTTGCACATTGCCCTCCGGCGGTGACTATCACGCTCACCCCCCTGCGCAGGCGCGGCGAACCCCGCCGGCTTCTCGGCTTCCGTGACGAAGCATCTGCTTTGCTGTGCTTTTCTTTGCGTTTTATTTCTGAGGCATGTCCACTTTGACCTTGAGCGGTGCGTGCTTGACGACGTATTGGTGTGGCCATCTTTCGGGCACAACGCCGCCGCTTTTTCGCGTAATGAGACGAGGAAAGCGCGCGACACATGCCCAAAAAATCATTCGATCCGACGTCCGATCCGGCAATACGACTGCCTGATCCGAAGAGTTTGGTCGCTTCAGAAGTCGGATCGGCGATCCGGCGTGCGCCCGACGTGCCAGATACTATCGCACGGCGGACGGACTGTCGGAAGCGCCTAGCCAAGGACAGCACAGCTAGCGCGAACGTCATGAGGACGTACTGGGTCTGGCGGGTACGAACAAGAAAACATGACTGACTTGGGCGACGAAAAGCGGGACGAGTGAATCCCGCTGATTCATTCGAGAAAGTTGACCCCAGCAAAGAATGGACGCGCTAGCGAGAACTAGCTCCTAATTTCGCTCGCGCAAGCTGCACCCTCAATCTGGGACCAGAGATTTACCCTGTATATAAACGCGGACCTCCGCTGGAGCGCTTGAATCTCCTGGGTGGTGTTGAACGGGGCGTCGTGTCGCATGCAAGGTCGGAAGCGTGTGTTTCAAACTGTCGCGTGGGCAAGTTCGGAGCGGCGTTTGGACTGCCGGATCGGACGATTCTGCCGTTCATGTGTCCTCGACCTTAAAGCTTTCAACTTAAAAAAACGCGCGCGCGCGTGAAAAAAAAAAAAAAAAAAAAAGTCATTTTCGTGTTGTTGATTTTTTTTTTTTTTTTATGTGTATAACTATATTTTGTTTGACGATAACTTGGCAGCCTGTGGGGGACAGGGCCCCGAGACCCAATAAGAGCGTCGGACCGAGGAACGTGACACGACGTCACGGGAACATTTGTGGCGCTACGTCAAATGCGAGGCATGAGGCCCGGAGGAACCGGCTGTCGTCTGCAAGTCAAGAGTCGTCTGCTCCGAAACAAACCAACTTCGCATGAACGTCCACTGCAGCAACATTTCCGTCCGCTAAAATAGCGAGCATTTAGAGGACAGTTCATTAGACAACCCTACGCTCAATTAGGCGCAAATCTGTGACGGGTGCGATGCTTTTGAGTGGAAACGGCCGATTACAAGGATGCAATCGCCAGTGATTGCCAACGGCCACGGCGTTACAAGGAGAAAAAATACGGGAGCGGACGCGCATGTGGCGTCACTTTTTTTGGTTTAAATATATTTGAAACTCGCAAATTCAAGATAATTT